TCGCCCCATGGTGAGATCCACGCCGATTTGAAATCGAGTCTCCTGGTCTTCCTCCCGAAAAAGACTTATGGGTTCGAAATCGGTGAGTCCATCTTTCGTCGCCCCTCGGTCACCCGTCCGCTCAGCATGCCGAATCCTCTCGGCCGCGGCGGCGCTGGCCCCCGCGGGCAAGGTTGCCGCGGGTAGACTGTTCGGGCCCGCTCAGAAATGCTTTCGGGGCCGCGACGTGATGGTCAACACTATTGAAGCTGAGCAGTTTCTCCCGCGTGAGCACCTGAGGGATCGCTATGCGTTTTTTTTTTTTTTTTTTTTTTTTTGGTTGTTGTTGTTGGGTTGATCTGTAGTTCCAGGGTTCTGTCTATACTCCGACGCATGGGCCCCCCCGAGGCCATCGTTCCCTTTCCTTTTTTTTGAAGCTTTACTCCGACAGCGAAGCTGTCGTCGCAATCGGTGGGGCGACATTTGGCGCATTTCCCGTCCAGAGAGAAGTTCGCCGCGGGGGCCCGACTTCGACGCTTTTATGCGTCTTGGGTTCTGAGCAGATCCTGCATTGGATTCCTTGGGGGATCCTTGAGCATATCGAGTTATCTGTAGCGTATGCTGACGACCTCGCCTTTGGCCTACGGTGCTTGTTTGACGGGCTTGGTCAGTTTTTTTTCCAGCTTCTCTGCCTCCCCGGGTCGTCGATCGGCTTGTCGCTGAACTTTCATAAGTGTCAGATCCTCACTGCGTATCGCTTGCTTAGCGAGCCGCTCATTGCCTTCTTTGATGACCTAGGCCTGCCCTTTCCCCTGTTGGAAGTTACGACGCGCGAGAGATATCTCGGGCCGTGGATTGGGGAGGATGCGCAGGAAAGGGCGCGGGGGGGGAACATGTGCAAGCCTGGCAAGAGGACGCGTGAGATTCGTGACCTTGGACTGGGGCTTGCGCGGTCGATTGTCATATTCCAGACCTTCTGTGTTTCCCTCCTCTACTTTGTCCTCCAGCTCCGCGCTCCATCTCGACGTCTTCGGGCCACCTACCGCGCGCGTGTTCGCCTCCTCGCTGCTGGTCCGAACACCGCTTTGGCACGCGACGTGTGCGTCTCTCTCAAGGGACTGGCCCCCCCGCTAGAGTTTCCGCGCCTAGAGCTGATCGCCGCGGCTACCCGCGCCAGATACGTTGCTCGCTGCAACGAGCTTCCTCGCCTGAGATATCAATTTGAAATTGTATTTTGCGACGACGATTGGCGCCCTGCTCGTCGCATCGCTCGTCGTGTTCCCGCCTCTTTTGTTGCTCAGCTATGCCAGTGCCATGCTTGGTTGTCGCTGCAGCACTTTGACCTTGAGTTTGAAATACCTGACGTTCAGAAACAATATATGAAGAAGATGGCCATCCTGCATCAACCTGCGTGCCCCCCTCTTGAGGCCCTTCTTAGGAGGACTCTGACATGGCTCCTTGGGGTGTCGGGGCACGAGTTAGGCCGCGTGCATCGCGTGCTCCGTCCGGTGTCTCGGAAGACAAACATGTGCATTCCACTGGCTGTGATTATGAGTTTATCCCGTTCTGTATGTACGTAGTCTCGCTTCCATCCGGCGTCTCGGGGGTGTCTCATGGGCTGTGCCCCCTCTTCCTCGCGTGACCTTGACGACATGTAACGCTATTGTATGTGTCCTTCTCTTCAGCGTCTCTATGGGAAGTGGATGGGTATCTGGACTCCCCGATCCCTGGGGGTGCGCCCCGGCTTCTACCCTACCTCCTGTTTTCCAGAATGGGGCTTGAGCAAATTCTTCTTTCTGCTGTGCTATGCGATGCGTTTTTGTCCATGCACTCTTCTTTCAGATTTAGGGCCAGGGGATCGCCCTCCCAGCGCTTTGAAGCCCGCCTCCGAGTCCTCGCGCGACGTCATCGCGCGGCTCGCGAGATCTGGGCCCAACGTGCGTGCATCTTCCGGCGCTAGCAAGGTTCAACACGTTTCTTTCGGGATGCAGGCCCGAGGACTCCAAAGCCTCTAGAGCGCCCGCTGGACACCGCCCCCCCCCAAAAAAAAGACAACTCTCCTCCCGCTCGATCAGTGCTGTCCGATTGGCAGAAAGCGTTCTCAACTTCAGCTCTGTCGGCTAGCATCCTCGGGTTCATGGAAGCCTGAAGGAACATCATAATCGAGATGGTCTGAGGAGTTGGGGAGTAAAGCTCTAGAGCCCCGGTGTCTGGTTCTTGGTATCCGTGCGCGCGCCACTTGTATTTGGCCGTGGAAAACGCGAAGGTGCCTTCCTTTTTTCACAGCACTGCGCCCAAGAACCTTCAGAGGGACGCTTCGCGAGGGGCCCAGGGTAAAATCCACCGAGGGTCGGCGCGCGATATGGCTATGCATATCGAGGGGTCGGGCCCGAACGGGAGCACAGAAGGCAGGGCGAGAGCTGAGCCACGACCCCGCACTCACGCGCCCCCGCCTCATGCGGAGGCAGCACTGTGAGAGCGGCGCCTTTTCCCCCTTCTGGGGTAAGGTGGCCCCTCTCCTCACACTCAAAGCACAGACTGCGGAACCAGACGCAGGAGGAGAGAGGAGGGAGAGCGGCGGCAGCCAGCAACAGCGGCGCCTCGGGGCCTCAGCGAACACCCCAGAGCACAGCGACGAGCGGGTTCCACCCGCCGAACCCCTCCTCGTCGATGTAACTCCGTTCTGGCCCCGAATAGACGATACTGCCGACGCCTGAGAGGGTGCGCGAGGTATTGTCGATGTCGATTGTCGACGCCGTCGAACCTCACTCCATGGGAACGACGCTGGTTATCAGAGCTGGTAGGATGTGCGTTGGCGTTTGAATATTTCTCCGATCGATGGCTGGCGTTGCTTCCGTGGCAAAACTGTGGCGACGTCGAACCTGGGCGAACCAGGATTTTGTGCCTCTACTTGCGCCTGGGCTTCTTGGCGCCGCCCTTCTCGCCCGTCTTGGCGCCGCCCTTGAACGCCAGCTGCTCAAACTGCTTGACTGCCTTCGAGCGGGGTCCGTGATCGTGGCCGAGCATGATGTTCGCCGCAGACAGGCCGTTGTTGAGCCTCAGCACCGTCAGGGCGTTCTTGAGATCGATGTGGTGGTTGCAAGCCCAGATCCAGCGTACTTGGTTTTCTGTGCCCTCGGTGAGGACTACTTTGAAGCACCGCGTCGACTTGACCATCGTATCCTTGTCCTGAACTAGCGGGCCCCAGCGCAGCAGCACGTCTCTGTTGCGAGCGGGCCCTGGCCGATCGCCTGCTTCGCATTCTCTAAGTCGTTCTGAACCGCCCCCGCGAGGCGGAAGGTGATCATGCGGAACAGCGCGTCTGGCTTCTTGCCTTCGGGGTGACCTCGAAAGTTGTCGCCCTCGCGCGCCTTCTTGCCCAAGTCCACATAGTGCTGGTAGCCACGCTCCAGTGCCATCTCTATCTTCGCGCCCTCCATGAGCGCCAGCGTGAAGTTGTCGTCTCGAGCAGCCGACTGGTGGGCGGCTTCGTGCTGGAGGACCATGCGGCACATGAGGTTATGTAGCTTGCCGTTGGGGGCCTCGTCGGTCGAGCTTGCGGCCTCGCTCGGCGGCGCTGCCAGTGCCTCGGCGCCGCGCTTGGGCTTCGCCACCTCGCTGACCGGGCCGAACATCGCACAAGTGCTCAGGCGCTGTCGCAGAGGGGGGCGTAGAAGACGGAGGGGCAAGTCCTGGTGGTTCGGGCCCCGCTGGCCTAGCAGCTTGAGCCGACGACGACGGTGGGGCACGGCGTCGCTGCGGGCGGAAGTGGCGGACCAGGGTATCCTTTCTGCCGAACTTGGTCTGGCTGTGTGGGCACCGAAGGGCTCTCAACTGGTCATCGGCGAGGCCCATGGGGTTCGCGTACTTCTGGCGAACCCGAAACATATGGTTGTCGAGTCCCTTCGGGCCCTGACGCATACGGGCGCACAATGGACACTGCAGGAGCTGTTCGGGCGGGGGCACTTCGCCAGCGGCTATCTTCGCTTCCTCGTCCGATTGATTGCTTCGCGCCCGTCGGAGTTGGGCTCGGGGAGCCTGACGCAGCCAGCGGAGCCAGGGCCTGGTGGGAGTCGGGTCGGGATCTCCGAGTTCATGGTCGTCGCGGGCCTGCTGTTGGGCCTCCGCTGTGTGCGTCTTCCAGAGCTTCCGAAGGTCCTCCTGGAGCACGCCTAGAAGGAGTTGGTTTCCTTGTGACGGGGGCCCTCGAAGTTAAACCTGCCAAAGGCCACTGCGCGAACCAGCTTAGTGGGGTCGTACTTGGGGTCCTGGGAGTGCTCCTGTGGGTCCTGCTGGGGCGCCTCCTCTGGGTTCTCCTGGGCCTGCATCTGCTTCGAGTCGGGGAAGGCGGGACGTGCCGCGCCCTGCCACCGCGCAATACGACGTTCCAGCAACGTAGATGCCACTGTCGGGACCCTGGTTGGGCGGCTTATCTCCGCATTACTCGTGTGATGGGTATGGGCAGGAGGGCGAGCGAGGTAGCGAAGTTTGCGAGTCTGCCAGTACTTTAGTCGATTGAGATCGCGCTTACTCAGGACTGCCGCCTCCAAGCCGTGCAGGGCCGTTGACCGAGCGAGGGAGCGCCATAAGCGGACTCGAAGGCGCACACTGAAATGTCCCGTGAAAGCTCTACGTGCAAGACGAGCATGTGCTGCATTACCTCCCTGGATCCTGTGGGTAACCTCATCCACCATCGTGCCATCGTCACGCTGCTTCGCTCCTAAGTACTTCACACTCGGAGTGGCATGGACTGGGGTCTCGTGCATGTGAATGTTTGTTTGCTTCGCTCGGATCGTGGCTTTGCGGCTTTTGCTTTGCTTACCCGTCGTGACGATCAACATTTCGGTTTTGGTGTCGTTAACCTTCATCTTGCCTTTCGTGATTTAAGCCTTCAGGAACGTGAGGAAGCGAGAGACCGTTTCGAAGTTTTCGACAATCGTGAGGGCGATCAGGTCGTCAACGAATTTGATGGGAGACACGACCATCCTCTCCTCCTCCTCCTCCTCACCAAGCAAGGCGTCCTGATGGCGTATCTTTTTCAGTTCTGGGTCAAAAATCACAGAGATCTCGGGGAACTCGGTCCTTGCCTGGCTCTGCTCCAGCTTCGAAGTGAGAAGGTCGTAGACGGCTATGAACAGCAGCGGGCCCTCCACACTGCCCTGCCGAACTCCGCGTGGGATCAAGAGCTTTTTGATGGGCCGGTTGGTGCGGATGTCACGAGCAATGTAGCATGTGCCCTCGCGTAGCTCTTCCACTGTCAGGCGCACCTCGCGGCTCAGGGCGAGGGCCTCGAGCGCAGTCCAGATCTCGTCGCGATCGATCAGGTCGAAGGCCTTCTCGAGGTCTATCAGGACCGCTACGAGCATGCCCGGGATTGCGGAGCCCAGCTTGGACGCGCGGCCATGGAATCGGAACCGTCGGATAACTTCGGCGACGACCGCCAGCGCATCTCGAGTAGAGCGGCCCGCCAGCGCGCCGAACTGCGTGGTCGAGAGCTTCGAGGCCAGGCTGCGGAGGGAGGGCATGACGGTGACGTTCATGAAGACTTTGCCAATGTGGTTGATGAGGTTGATGGTGCGGTAGTGGTCGCGGGCGTTCTTGCCATCCCCCTTCGGCTTGCGGAGGGAAACAGTTTCGCCGTCTTTGAAGCGCTGGGCAGAATGGCCCAATGCTTGGCTAGCCTGGAAAACTTCGTGAAGGACTGGGGCCGTTTCTGCCGTAGCAAGCTTCCACAGTTCGATGACGGAGCCGTCGTGGGGCTCGGTCGAGTCGGGCGCCATCTTGAGGATGGGGGCGCTCTTGTAATTTGGCATTTTGGCGATAGCCTTAGTAACGTCATCAATCGTGTATGAGCCAATGCGAGTGTCGTCCCTCGGGAGGATCCCAGGAGGGCCTCCAGGTTCGTGCAGAGGGCTTTGGTGCGGGCGTGGGTCTCCTCCTCGGCGTCCATGCATACCGTCGCCGTAGTGGGGCTGGTTACCGTGATGACTGGTACCGTAGGCTTCGGAGCTAGGCGGCGAACGATGCTGTGGAGCTTGCGCAGGTTCATGGTGGCGTCCGCTACCTCGGCCTCCGTCGCTGTCTCAGCGAGACGTCGTCGGCGTTCCGAGCGTACGGCCTTGGCGGCCGCCCTGGCCGCCTCGTCGTACTGGGTCTGGAACTCGATGAAGCGCGTGCAGGCGGGGTCGGCGATCATAGCCATGCGTCTCTGGATGGTGTGTTTGGAATCGATCAGGGCCAGGGTGGTGTCCGTCAGCTTCGGGCGCGTGGTCTGCGTGGGTGCCAGGACGTAGTGCGGGGCGGCAGCCTCAATGATGGCGTGCTCCACGGCGTTGAAGTATTCCGAGGGGGTGGCGAAGCGCAGCACCTCGCCACACGTCATCCACCAATTGTTAGTGAGGCCGCTGTCCGTCATCATCTGGGCTAGGGTTGTGCGCATCTGGAGGACGCGCTGCGGGGTAGGTGCCTCGGGGTCCTTGAGCGCGCCACCATGGCATCGCGGTTCCACCGCAGGGGCTTCTCCCCAGGCAGGCGACGCGCACGGGGCCCAGCGTACACGTAGGCTTCGACTGGCCGGTGGTCGCGGTATCCGCCAAGGCTAACTGGCAGCTGTTGTAGAGGGGCTGCGTGCTTGCCGTAGGAGCCTGCTAAGCGGGTGCAGATGTAGTCAATGGTGGTCCATCCCTTGCCCACCGTGTGCTTCCACGTGCCGTTCTGGCGAGAGCTCTTGCCGAACGTGTTCAGGGCCGTCATGTGGTAGTCCTGGAGGAGTTCCAGTAGGCGCGAGCCGTTGGTGTTGGTGGCTGCATAGCGGCGTCTCTGTCCAGCGAGGCCCACGTTCGGCAGGGATGGGGACATGGCAGCGTTGGCATCCAGGTTGAAGATTAGGGCCAGGCGCTGCGGGATCTGGCGGAGGGCCGCTCGACACGTGTCCCAGAACTGGGTTTGTAGGGCCTTATGGGCTGCGGCACGCTCGTGGTGATCGGCTTCTATGCTTCCGTGGCTGACCTCGTTCAGCGGGGCGTAGCCGTTCAGGATGTAGATATCACGTTCTCGGGGGCCTCTTCGAGTGAGTCGAATATCCTGTAGTCGTCCACTCATCCACTCGTGAGTGACTCGGAGCTCGCTCAAAGAGAAAAACTTCAGGTTGCAAGCTATCAGACAGCCATCTCTACTGGTTCTGGTCGTACGCGGAGTCGGGATAACTCTGTAGCCTTCTGTGGTCCACGGGGTGGCGAGCTCCAGCAGGGTACTCTGGAGGCTAATGATGGCAACACGAGCGGCACGGGCGAGTCGAAGGATCTCGGCCAGGCGATCCGCTCGGAGGAGGCTTTCGCAGTTGTGCGTCCAAATCTGTATCAGCTGCTGTTGACGATGTTGTCGGGCACGCTGGCGAAGGTGATACTTGGCGGCGCTGGTGGCCGTGGGGTCTCGAGCTGGTGTCAAAGACCTCGATGCATAGGAAGTAGATGTAGTTCTCAACGTCGTCTGAGCCATGAATTGATGGTAGTCCGAGAGTAGAGCAGCTGCCGTAGCTCGAGTGTACCTCTTGCCGCGGTACCAGACACTCCCGCCCAATTGCAACACTCGCGCAGCCCGTCGTAGGGCCCGCTTGCCTCCCCGATGCACTTGCTCCCTGGAAGCCGATGTGGGCACAGTCTATCGCTAGTTCCAGGTTCAGGACCGTCGTGCCGCAGTCCAGCGCTCACCTCACCGACCTTGAAAGTCGTGTCGGTCTCCCTCGTCACTTGCGCCTCACGGCGCAGGCCATGGCGGCAGTAAGGGAGAAAGGTCGGGCTTCGGGCTGAGACTTGCGACCCAGCACGCAAAAGAGCACGCTTGATATCTCTCGAGCCGTCGAGGCTTGAAGGTGCCTTCCGCCAGCTTCACCAGCGCACCATCCGAGAAGTGATGATCCGCTCAGGCGCGACCCTCCGCACGGCTTCCGACCGCTTCTGGGGAAGAGTCTTCGCGGTCCCGGATTCCAATATCGACTCCCATCCTTTAAGGTCGGACGCGTCAAACTTAGCACGTTTCTCTGGGGAGAGAAGGCCCGCAGCCACCTCCGAGCCTCGACCCGCGGCGAAACATTCGGCGGGCAGGGAAGGGAGGAGACTGACGACACCCGAACCGTCGGCCGGATTCCTAAAGGCGCGGACTCTTCCTTGAGGGTCCGCTCTCACCCAAAAACCGGTGACATTAACAGACCTGCCGTTGCCTGCTCCTCGTTCCTCTCCTCTGGAATCCGAGTAGGGTGACGACCTGGTCCGCGAAACGGGGGTCCGAACCCGCCCTTGCCGCTGCTTTATCTCCGAGACGCGTCCACATGGCCCGTTGCCTTCTGGACGTCCGCGGAGCCTCCGCCATCCTGCCCGACAGGGTCCTCAGTCCCTTTGGGATCGCTGGAGGAAGAGGAGGAAGGGAGAGGAGACACATGGGACAGAAGCGGCGTGAGACTGGGGGGAGGGTTCACCGTCGCTCTCACTCTGGGCCTCTTAGGCTCCGACTCGCCATCTCGCACCTGCGCTCCCGTAGCGGGGCTCAGCCCCGCCCTGACACTCTGGATAGACAAAGGAACGTCGCTAGGCTGCCTCAGGCCTCGCGGCACGACCCGATCGAGGGGGTCCCCGAGAGGAGGAGAGAGGGCAGGAACGGCAGGAGGAGGAGGAGGAGGAGGAGGAGGAGGAGGAGGAGGAGAAGGATTCCCCGACCCTGAGTCACTAGGCTCAGTTGGCGTCTGCGCTTCCGAGGGCGTGGGCACCAGATCTGACTGATCACCGCTCGGAGGGAGCAGCGGAACCTCTTGGTCCTCGGCAGCGGAAGGCAGTCGGGTGGACCTGGGACTCGGAGTCCTTAGGCCCCCAGGGGCCTCCTCCTCCTCCTCCTCCTCCTCCTCCTCCTCCTCCTCCTCCGCCTCCGCCTCCGCCTCCGCCTCCGCCTCCACCTCCGCCTCCGCCTCCGCCTCCGCAGCGGGGCGCCGTCAACATCCTCTGGGCTTTGCTAGGCCTTCCTCGGTCTGAAGTTCGGGAGAGGATCGCTCCCGGGGCCTCCGAAGGAAGGGGTTGCTGCCAGGCTTCTTCCGACGGGTCTCCCTCTCTCTGAACGTCCACCGCGACCGCTTGCTTGGCGCCGATCTGACGCTGCAACTCTTGCCACTCTGGATCCTCGGTTAAGCGCATTCCAAGCTCCTCGTCCAGGCTAGCGGGACGCATCTGGGCGGAGGAACACTTCCAACAGACGCGCGCGCATCGCAAGCCACCCTGTCCCCTGCTCACTCAACACAACCATTCCCGGGCCGCACCAGGCTCCTCGCCTGATCCCCAGGGAGTCCTGACGAGATGAGGTCCTGGAAATTTGGCGCCACACGAACACCCACTGGCCTGGAATGAACCAGCGAAGCGGGGCGATCCTCGCTCTGCTCGCGCGCTGAATCTGATCACGAGCCACCACCTTCAGAGCCAGCTCTCTCGCCCGATCCCGAACTCCCTGAGCCCTGACTCGGCTGCCACTGGATCCTGCTCCGAGGGCGATCGAACAACGTCCTGCCAGCCGGGAAGCCCCAGGTGGTCATCATCCAGCAGCTCGTGAGGGGCTCGAGGGTTTTCCCAAAACACCAGTTGCATCGGGGAGAAGCTTCCCCTATGCCAGCAACGGTGCTTGTGTCCAACAAGCTCAATCACCAAATAATCCAGCTCCTCTACGTCTCGCGGCATATCCGAGCCAGCATTGATCTCCGCTTGGATACGTGCTTTGATCCCCCCCCGTGTCTCTCACATCTTCCGTTCTCCCAGGGGGAGTCCGCGTTGGCAACGTGATGCTTCACTCCGGCCTGCGAAATTCCTCAAGCGAATCTCTCTTCAAACTCGGGCCCGCCGTCCGAAATCAGCAGGCGGGGATACCCGAAAGGCCGGACCCAGGCACGAACGAAAGCGTTCCACACCGTAGAAGTTCGCCTGTCTTCCACCCTCGCAACAACCTGCAGGTCAGACCCGTGGTCCACGACGTGCAGAAATCTGACATCATCCGTTCGGAAGCGGACGTGAAAAAGGTCCACGGCCACAATGTGGTTTCACCGAAACGTCCGTGGAAAGGCTATCCTGGGATGCACGTCCTGCCGAGCACGCTCGTCGCATTCGCTGCATGAGCACTTGTGCGTGATCCATCGGAGAAGGTAAGCTTTCACTCCTCCCGCCCGCAGAGCCCTGAGGAGCTTGCGAATCTCGGGATGACCCACGTGGACGTGCAGGCGGTGAATCAGACCCTTGTCTGACTCGAGGGGCTCAGGGTCCGGCTCCTTGCTGCGCGTGGCCCCCGGAGGCCGGGCCTCGGGATCGTCTCCAGAGTCCTCGCCCTCCCTGTCCGGGAGCTCTTCTTCTTCCTCGGCCGCTGCCGCCGGGAAGACCGAGCCCGGACCCGAGAACTCCAAGGTGGCGTCCAAACCCCGAGGGGAAAACACCCGTCGTGGCTCCTGTTCACTTCTCGCCTTCCACCCGCACGAGGGTCTGGACGAACCAGTGGGCGTACACCCAGGCCTTAGCTGGACAATCGTTCTCCAGGATCACATGACGGTGCCCTCCCAGGCACACCTTGGTCTCAAGCGTCCTGGCCAGATCGGGGAAGTTGGTCAGAATACCGTTCGGTTTCTTGTTGAGGCCACTTGGGGAGACCTGCAACCCGAACGCGCAGATGTCCACCCAGAAGCGCTTGACTCCTGGCTTGGAGGCAACATGTCTGACCATCTATCATGTCAGGATGAGGCCGAAGAAGGATGCTCGAACGCGAAGAAGCGACCCTGACGCACCTTGTACAAAGCATTCTCCATAGTTGCACAACTCTAGATCTCTGAGTCCGCCTGTCATCGCCTGTTGCCACCTATCGGTTTCACGTCGGTCCTAGTTAAGGTAGGTTGATATCGAACAGGCCCGACACTCGGGTGACATCATAACGAGCAAGGGTCTCTCCCTTTCCAAAGTCGCCCACATCGTTCTGACATCCTCGGGGTCGCTGGGGTCCCATCCCTCGACCAGGTCAAAGCTCGCCGTTTCCCCCGTCGGGAGTCGAATTTCCCTGGCAGCCGCAGACACTCGGGCTGGAGTTGAAGATCTCCAAAGCCGCCGTGCGAGGTCCATGCCGACCGGGCTGGGGCCCCCCGGGGCCCGAGGGTCTGGCGCGAGTCTCCCAGGGCTTGGGAAAGCTGAGCCTTCATCTTGCGAGACAGAAGCGTTGCATGATCATCGTTGAAGCGATCGCCGATCGCCCAAGACTCCAGAACCGAGGAGGAGTCCAGATGACTTGAAACACCTGCCTCTGCCGGCCGGGCGTCCTGTGACGCTCGCGCTGCGAGCGATAGCCCGCAGGAAGCCTTACAGTCGCACGTGCCAGGCCTCCTCAGACGTCGGCTCCATCGTCGAGCTCGCCCTCCTCCTCGCGCTCCAGGGACTCCCAGCCGTAATGGTTGTGGAAGGGCATCTCCGTGCACCCAGCCACTTGGCTCCCGTTCACCGTCGGTTGACGCCACGGGTCCTCGGTCTGGGGCCCCGCGACGCTCTGGCCCAGCGCTGCCATCATCGCCTGCTGCTGGTGCACCGCTCCGAGGATATGGTCCTGCAAGTGGTCGATGCCTATCTGCATGTTCTGAAGTGCATTCGCGTGCAAGGTCAGCGTCGCGCCCATCGAGTCCCCGAGAAGCTGGATCTGGCCGGTGATGCTTACGACGTTGGTGGATTGTCGTCCCAGTACTCCATTCAGCGCCTTTTAAAGCAGCGAGATCTGCTCTTGCAGGGACAGCGTGCCGTCGGCCCCGATCGCGTCCAACACTCGATGGGACTTGCGAGCCGCCTCGGACGCCTGATGAGCCGCCTCCCTTGTCGCCGAGAACACAGGTTCCTCTGCAGCACTGCCCGATCCGCTGGACCCGCTCGGTCCCGTCTTGGCCCGAGAAAGAGGGTCCCAGCTCAGCCTGGCTTTGCAGTCGGCATTCGTACAGAAGATGCCCGAATCGTGCTGGTTGCCATAACGGCGTATGTTGGTGTGTGGACACGACGGATCCCCC